AGGAGTTCGAGACCACTCTGGCCAACATGGTGAAACCCCATCTCTACTAAAAATATAAAAATTACCCAGTTGTGGTGGTGGGCACCTATAATCCCAGCTACTCAGGAGGCTGAGATAGGAGAATTACTTGAACCCAGGAGGTAGTGGGTGCAGTGAGCCGAGACCATGCCACTGCACTCCAGCCTGGGCAACAGAGTGAGACTCCATCTCAAAAATAAACAAATAATAAAAACTGAGTGGAGACAGAGCAGGAATAATGGAATAGCCAACAGGCTCTAAGTGCCAGGAATCTAAGTGTCAAGGAAGGGAGGCTTCCTGGAAGAGGTGATACGTTGGAAGTGAGTCCCAAAGAAAAGACAGGAAGACAAATAGGAAAAGACTTTCTGCAAAGAAGGAAATCTGTTTGCAAGGCACAGCTTCAGAAAGGCATGGCGGGTCATACACATTGTTTTTAGGAGAAACTGTGAGGTCATCAGCCTGGAGCCAAGGGTGCAAGATGGGAGGAGAACATGAGTAGACATAGCCAGGTTTTGAAAGGCCTTGTCTACTCTCCAAAGGGGTGTGGACTTATCTTACAGACATCGGGTTGCCTGAGTCTTGAAGCAGTCTTGAAATAGACATGGTTTTATAGCCAGAGTTCTGGTAGCCATAAATAGGGTAGGGAAGTGGGGCCCAGGGGCAGAAGAAGGATCATGAAACCAAGTTGGGTGGTGGGTGGTGAAAGCCTAAGCTTCGTACCCAGCAGCGGGTGTTGACATGATACTGCATTGCTGGGAGTTATGGGCCAGCTGGGAGAATGATGGTGGGGAAGCCGGCAGGTCGGATCTCTTCCCTCTGCTGGCAACAAGTTCTGGGTGCCTGTCCACTCCCTGGCCCCCAGCTCTTTGCTATCTCATGTACCCAGCCCTTCCCCAGGCAGTGTCATCCCATCCCTGTTCTCCCCGGCCGGCTTGTAGAGCATATTGCATAAAGGTTAAATTCCCATTTTATTTAAAATAATTTAAGTTATTTATACATTTTTAAAGCTATCTTTTGTTTTAGGGATAGAGTCTTACCCTGTCACCCAGTCCTGAAAACAGTGGCATGATCATGGCTCACTACAGCCTCGACCTTCTGGGCTCAAGAGATCCTCCACTTCAGCCACCCGAGTAGCTGGGACCACAGGTGTGCACCACCATGCCTGGCTAATTTTTTAATTTGTTGTAGAGATAGGGTCTCGCTCTGTTGCCCAGGTTGGTCTCAAACTCCTGGGCTCAAGTGATCCTCCAGCCTCAGCCTCTCAAAATGCTGGGATTACAGGGGTGAACCACCATACCTGCCAAAATCCCTTTTTAATGGCTACATTCTAAGTCCCCCATTCAGCCTTCATGCTCGGTATTTGCTAGTGTGAACATAACTCCACCCAAGACACCCTGTTACGTCCTCACAGACCCTGCCATTTCTGCAGCTGACACTTTGTCCTCACAGTGTCTCTGAGGACCGCCCTCCTCCACCTGTGTGAATGAAATACATCTTCCAAGGCTCAGCCCTCCATGAAACCTCCCCCAGCAGGGCTCCTCATAGAACGCTCTCCCTCTGCTGATTCCTATGGCATTTTTTCTCTCTACCACACTTGTTTCGCACTGTTATTTACATGTTTTGAAAATGGGCCACGGCTCGCGGTATAGTGTAGAAGTCACGAGTGTCTCACAGAAGCCAGTATAAAGCCGCCTATGGGCCAGGCACGGTGTCTCACGCCTGTAATCCCAGCACTTTGGGAGGTCAAGGAGGGCAGATCACGAGGTCAGGAGATCAAGACCGTCCTGGCCAACATGGTAAAATATTTCTACTAAAAATAAAAACATTAGCTGGGCGTGGTGGCGCGATGACTGTAATCCCAGCTACTCCCAGCTACTAGGGGAGGCTGAGGTAGAATTGCTTGACCCCGGCAGGAGGAGGTTGCAGTGAGCCACGATCGCACCTGCACTCCCGCCTAGGTGACAGAGCGAGATTCTGTCTCAAAAAAAAAAAATTAAAAATTAAATAAAATATCACGAGGTCAAGAGATCGAGACCATCCTGGTCAACATGGTGAAACCCCATCTCTACTAAAAATACAAAAAATTAGCTGGGCACGGTGGCGCGTGCCTGTAATCCTGGCTACTCAGGAGGCTGAGGCAGGAGAATTGCCTGAACCCAGGAGGCAGAGGTTGCGGTGAGCCAAGATCGTGCCATTGCATTCCAGCCTGGGTAACAAGAGCAAAACTCCGTCTAAAAATAAAATAAAATAAAATAAAATAAAAGTAAAGCTGCCTACGTGTAGGGGTCAGCAGATATCGATTGACTGTCACTCTGTCCATCGGGAGGCTTATCAACAGTGCCTGTCACGCCGCTGTCATCAGTGTGACTGGAGTGCAGTACTGAGAATGGGCCCTGGTCAGAAGCCTTTGCCATTTATCATAGACTCATGACCTCAGGCCAGTCACTTAACCAGTCTGGATCTTCATTTCCTTATCGGTGAGATGGCAAAGTTAAAGTCATCAATGGTAGCTAATTCCTTTTCACTTTCTGTTGATCATATAACCTCCTTTCAAATGTGGACTTGATTGTGTGCCGTACATGAGAGTCGAGCTGCTAGGAACCCGGCTTCTCCTCCCCGCCGTCCCTCCTTCCCGTCGATCCACTGTGGATTTAGAAAACAACCTGAAAGCTCCCACACTGGGTGGTTCCTTCTAAGACTCAACACCTGCATGGTTACAGGATAGCAGCATGGCCAGTCTCATAGCTCTAGGTCTGGGCACTGCTGTGTCTACATAGGACTAGGGCAGGATCTAGGCTAAGGGCTTGGTCAAACCCATGCTCACTAATTAGAGAGAAGTAGTTACTGCAGAATTTCCCAAGGAAACCAAAGCTAGGGTTTGGTTTCCACTTAGATTGAGCAACTTCCTTCCAGGGCACTCAACCTTCTCAGCAAAACATTCTCTTTCAATGCAAGCGGTCCAGTAACACGCAAGGGTTGTGACTGTGCATTTGACATAAACATATAAATGCACCTTCAGGAGGAGGCTGGGCCCCTGGTTATTCACTCTGGTGGTGTTTACGTTGAATCATTGTCCACTTTAATCACCTTAAAGCTCCAGAACAGGTTGAGGTCACAGCTCATGGCCAGTATGGGGGCAACGGACAGCTAAGCGTATACTGTAAGATTTAAAGTAAATAGGTGGCTCACACCTGTCATCCAGCACTTTGGCAAGTCCAAGAGGGAAGACTCTTTGAGGCCAGGAGTTTGAGAGCAGCCTGGGCAACACAGGGAGACCCTGTCTCTACCAAAAAAATTTGCTTAAATTAGCCAGGCATAATGAGGTGCTTCTGGAGTCCCAGCTACGCAAGTCGCCAAGGTAGGAGGATGGCTCGAGCCCAGGAGTTTGAGGCTGCAGTGAGCTATGATTACACCACAGCACTCTAGCCTGGGTGACAGAGCGATACCCTGTCTCTAAGAAAAATTTTAAAATACAATAGAATCTGGCCAGGCACGGTGGATCACACTTGTAATCCCAGTACTTTAGGAGGCCGAGGCGGGCAGATCACCTGAAGTCGGGAGTTCAAGACCAGCCTGACCAACATGGAGAAACCCTGACTCTACTAAAAATACAAAATTAGCCAGCATGCTGGTGCATTCCTATAATCCCAGCTAGTTGGGAATATGAGGCAGGAGAATCACTTGAACCCGAGAGGCAGAGGCTGCAGTGAGCCAAGATCACACCATTGCACTCCAGCCTGGGCAACAAAATTGAAACTCTGTCTCAAAAAAACTAAATAAATAAAATAGAAACTAAATAGTATTACCTCAAGTGACAGAGGATGTTTCACATTTCACTGATAGCCACCTAAAAATAATTTAAAATCACACTAAAGGGATCTAAGACTTTCATTGCTTGAATCCTCCTTTTCAAAATTGTGTCTCCTCTGCAGGATATCTGCGGCCTCTCTCCTTTCTGCAGCCAATCTTGCCCTGTGCCCGGCAGGCTGGGCAGGAGACTCAGTGTCTTCATCCCAGCCAGTCCCTGAAGAGAAACTGGAAACATTCCGAGTTAACTAAGCCAGTTGCTCCAAAAAGGCCTCCATTCTTGGGTCACCTTCCTCTGCCCTGTTCCTCAGTCAGGCTGGCACTGGTTTGGGTGGGTGGGCTGCAAGAACTGTCTTAGATTTCCCAGACCTGGCTCCCTCCTTTTTGTAAACATCTGGACCTAAATTTCCCATCCACTGCTTGCTGGTCAACACCCCATTAACATTTTCCAACTTCAGCTGGGGCCCAAGATAGCCCATTGGACCTATCTGCCCTTAACACTAGAGTTCCTGCTCTCCCCCTGGGGTGGTTGTCACAGGAACCCATGGGTACCAGATCTTCCCCAACAGAGCAGCTCCTCAGGGTGGTGGGTGGTTATCAGGGCCAGACAGAGGCTATGCTGTTATATATGGTGATGCCTCTGGGGGATTCACAATGAACGAACCATGAGTGGGTGTGTGGGTGCGTGTGGAGAGAGACGAGACCAGACAGAGTGTCAAGAGATTTTTGTCACAGTAGCCAGGAAGGGGTTATTTTGGGTTATTTTGAGTTGGAATCTCACTCTGTCACACAGGCTAGAGTGCAGTGGTGCCATCGCAGCTTACTGTAGCCTCAAATTCCTGGGCTCAAGCAATCCTCCCACCCCAGCCTCCCAACTGGCTAGGACTACAGGCTCATAGCACAGGTGTGGTGGCTGTGCGCCTGTGGAGTTCGAGACCAGCCTGAGCAATGTAGTGAAAACCCATCTCTACGAAAAATACAAAAATTAGTTGGGTGTGGTGGCACGCACCTGTAGTCCCAGCTATTTGGGAAGCTGAGACAGGAGGATAGCTTGAGCCCAGGAGGCACAGGTTGCAGTGAGCCAAGATGGCACCAGTGGACTCCAGCCTGGGTGACAGAGCCAGACCCTGACTCAAAAAAAAAAAAAAAAAAAAAAAAAAAAAAAAAATCCCAGCTCTTCCACTTACTGACTCTGAGATCTTGCTGATTTAAAATACTCAGCTTCTTGGAGCCGAAGTTCCCCCATCTGTAAAATGGAGATGACAATAGTAATACCTACCTGATAGGTGGCTTTGAGGATTACACAATGTAATATGTATAAGGTGCCGGGCACATTGCAAAGCACTGTGTGTCTTAGCCATTGCTTTTATTATGCTACATCTGTCTCCATGGCTTTACCCCCGACTTTAACACAAACAGATTTGGGTTTTTTTGTTTGTTTGTTCTGAAACAGAGACTCACTCTGTTGCCAGGCTGGAGTGCAGTGGTGCAATCTCAGCTCACTGCAACCTCTGCCTCTTGGGTTCAAGTAATTTTCCTGCCTCAGCCTCCCAACTGGCTGGGACTACAGGCGCGTGCCACCACACCCAGCTAATTTTTGAATTTTTAGTAGAGACAAGGTTTTACCATGTTGGCCAAGATGGTCTCTGTCTCTTGACCTTGCAATCTGCCCGCCTTGGCTTTCCAAAGTGCTGGATTACAGGCGTGAGCCACCGTGCCAGGCCTAGATTTTTAAAAACTTATTTTGAAATAATTTTAACCTTACAGAAAAGTTGCAAGAACAATGCAATGAACTCCATACACTCTTTGGATTCACTGATTGTTAATATTTTGTCACATTTGCTTTATCTCCCTCTCTTTTTCCTTTCTCTTACTCTATATATATGATCGTTATAATTATTATTTTTGCTAACCTATTTAAGAGTTAAGTTGTGAATATTTTGACCCTTTACCTCTAAGAACAAGGAGGTTCTGTTATATAACCACAGTAAGAAGATCATATTCATGAAAGGTACCACTAATATAATACTATGATGAAATATACAATCCCTACTCAAATTTCCCCCATTGACTCCATTCTAATGCCTTTTAAAGAGATTGTTCTTCCCTGTTCTGGGATCCAACCCAGAATCACATGTTGCTTGCAGTTGCCAGGTCACATGAGTCTCCTTTAATCTGAAAGAGCTCCTCAGCCTTGCTTTGTCCTTCGAGTTGAACCATTTTTGAAGAATGCAGAATGTGCAGATGCCCCTCATCTGGGCCTGTCTGATTTGCTCCTCGTGATCCTGTTCAGATTCTGCACTTCTACAGAAGCCTGCACAAGCCATGTCTTCTCAGCACATCATGCTGAGAGGCACATGATGTCCGTTTTAATCTGTGGGGAGATATTTGGAGATCCTGTTTTAATCTGTGGGGAGATATTTGGAGATCCTGTTTCTCGCAAGCCTGCACCCGGCAACCTCTAGAACAGATCGGAAAGCTGTGCACGCCATGGCACCGCTGCCAGGCACCTGGAGTTTGGCCACCCACGCCCTCAGCCCCTGGCCCTTCCACCCTTCCCATCCTTCTCGTTCTTCCTCCCATCTTGCTGCACTCCTCCCTGACTTTCAGGACGGGGCCTCCTTCTCGTGTCCCTTCCCCACCAATCACAGAGATTTACACAGAGCAGGGACTCCGTAAATTGACATTTGAAGGTCACATTAAAGTTAATAAAAAACGTGTGATCTAAGGTCTGCATATCTTCTCAGGGGTAAGTGTTTCAACAGAAGTTTCTTTGACAAGGATTTCATTTATACTTCACTAGAGTCAGGCCTCAAAGAACATAAATATTCTTTCTTCTGCCTAAGGGCAATTCAGACTGAAAAAAAAAAAACCCCACCCTGAAATGGTGTGGAGGAGGGAGGGAGAAAGGAGAATTAAATATGCATCTACCTCACAAACCCACCAGTCTCTTCCATACGGTGTCCACGGTAGCAGGCAGTGAAAGACCACCTCATTACAGAAGGCAATATGTAGAATGTGGTGGACATATCCTCATGCGCTTATTCAATATTGATGAAGAACCTGTTGTGGTCTGGTATTGCTCCTACTCTCAGAGATGCGGGAATCTCAGTGAATAAAAGAAAGTCCTTGTTCTCATGGAACATATATTTTAGTTAGTGATAACAGACAATGAGCAAATATCATCCGCACACACCCTCCCCACACACAGACACTCATCAGGGAGTGGGAAGTGAAGGGGTATAGGAAGACAAGTTGGAGGGGGCACTTTGCATAGTCAGACGTAATAAACTAGGCTGGGCTCAGTGCCGCATGCCTGTAATCCTAGCAGTTTGGGAGGCTGAAGGGGAGGACCACTTGAGGCCAGGAATTTGAGACCAGCCCTGGGCAACATATCGAGATCCCATCTTTATGAAAAATACAAAAACTGGCTGGGCATGGTGGTGCATACCTGCAGTCCCAGCTACTTGGGAGGCTGATGAGGGAGGGTTTCTTGAGCCCAGGGTGTCTAGGTTGCAGTGAGCTCTGGTGGCACCATTCCGTTCCAGCCTGGGTGACAGAGCGAGACTCTGCCTCAAACAAAAACAAAAAACAAAGTCGTAAACTAAATTTACAAACGGGATACGAATAGACTTTGAAAACATAGTCAATTGACCAGTGATTAGAATTGATGATGCAAAGATAGAACAACGTTGTCCAGTTCTGTATCCCTGGATGCTGCTTCCACATGTGGATTTCTGGCTGCAGCAGGATATTGAGCAAATAATAGAGAACCTTCCACTTCACCTCTGGCTGAGCCACCCCACTTTGTTGAAGGTATTAGAACGACCTCAATTAAAAAAAAATACCCATCTCCAACTAACACGTTGTTTCCTAGAAATAAGACTCTACCACACACACACACACACGAAGATGGCTTCTGGGAAAAGATCTTTTCTCCAGTAGGCTAAAAATTGGAATGACCAAAGAAACCATCTTTGCAGCCTAACAGAACATGATTGAGGCTGACAAGAATCCAAATTTGGAATCTACACCCATTGAATCTAACGTCTCCTGTCTTACTCAGTGTTTTTCAAATGACTTTCAAAATGAAGTCTTATTTTGGTGAAGGCAAAAAAAAAAATAGTCAATTGAAAGAAAGGCATAGAATAAAATTGATGGTATCATATTATTTATGGAACTTTAAAAAACACATATGCAAAATGCTGCTATCCATAGTTCAGGTAAACACATGTCTAAGGACAGGCATGTTAGCATGTGAGAATGTACACCTAACAGAAGTGAGAAGGGAAGTTTGGAAGGGGAACAGGGGAAAAATAATGAATAAAACAAGAGAGGAGCTTTGCCTGCATGGATGGTAGGGGGCCAGGAATTGAAGTGTAGGATTATATAAGTGAAAGTAGAAAAAAAGTTTCAAAAAAGGATGGGGAAGGAAGGAGATTTTGCTGCCAAGAATGAGGAAATGAATGTACTTTTCCTTCCCCACTGCATCTGGGACCAGGTAGGCCGGTGAGCCTCCGAGCTTCTCCTTCTGCCCCCTGAGGCTATCTCATATACCATAGCCTGCAAATCTGCCACTGCCAGGGGGCAGCAGGGACAAGCATGGTGGCAAGAGGCGGTGGGCAGGCATAAGGCAGCCTCTACCAGCCCATGGCCTTTTCACTGGATCACACAGCTCTGGTTCCCAGTCCAGCTCCATTATCTACTATATATGTGACCTTTGGGCAAGTTGCTTTATTATCTAAACCTCAGTTTCCCCATCTGTGAAATGTGACTAATAACATAATAATAGTAAGCACTTCACTGGGTGGTTGTGAGGATTCTGTGGGCCAGTGCATGTAACACCTCCATCACAGGGCTGGGACTAGAGTCCATTCTTGGAAATCCTGTTAATAACATTTTTCTCTTTTTTGCTTTCCTGAAATGACTGCCAAACTAACTTAGTCCCAGCACATTATTCTCTGCATGTTCAGAACATGCCCAAGCAAACTACAGGCGGGCTATTGGCAACATCTGCCAAAGGATAACTGTGGCTTTCACTTTTTTTTTTTTTTTGAGATGCAGTCTCACTCTGTCCCCCAGGCTGGAGTGCAGTGGGGCGATCTCAGCTCACTGCAACCTCTGCCTCCTGGGTTCAAGTGATTCTCCTGCCTTGGCCTCCTGAGCAGCTGGGATTACAGGGCCCCGCCACCATGCCTGCCTAATTTTTAAATTTTTAGTGGAGCAGGGTTTCACCATGTTGGCTGGGCAGGTCTCAAACTCCTGACCTCAAGTGATCTGCCCGCCTCAGCCTCCCAAAGGGCTGGAATTATAGGCATGAGCCACTGTGCCTGGCCGGCTTTCACTTTTTAAACACACCACACCTGACACTTCCTGATCAGCCCCCGGGATCACTACAGAACGCTCCAGTACAAACCTCACCTGAGCATGTTTCCATTCCAAAACAAGAGGAAACCTAACGCTGTTCTATTGATCCCTTCTCTGCAAAGCTATTGAATTGCCAGTGTTTATTTTTCAATGTGCTGTACTCAGGACAACTTCTTTTTTCTACAAATTTGACATAGAATCACTTAAGGGACTGAGCCAAAACCCCAGGGAGAAAGGGTGTATGCTGACTCATGTGTGCCTGTGATTGTGTGTGTGTGTGTGTGTGTGTGTGTGTGTGTGTGTGTGTGTGTTGCAAGTGATGTTATTCTAGGTGGTTGCTGAGTTCCTGTCTCCAGATTCCATGGCACCTTAACTCGACTCTCAGCCCAGACTGAGTAGGTTTGCCAATGTTAGTGCCTGATGTTGGCAGGATGGCTTTGGCAGGAATTGTGAGCACAGTTTTGAAACCTGTACTTATCAGATGGCACCAGGTTGCAGTGTGGCAATAATTACAGGACAATTCAGAGTTTTGCCAGGACAAAGGGTGGAGCAGCCCTTTGTGGCTGAAATTTCAGAGCTGCCAAAACGGCGCCACCCATGGTATGATGGGGAGAAAGGGGAGGACAGGCCTTGGGAAAAGCAGGGCGCACAGCCACGAGGGTCTACCCCCGAATGTCTACCTCAAGAGCACAAGCAAACAAGAATGCACAGTATGCTAAATTGTGAACCCTTTGCAATTAGGGACCATGCCTAATTCATCTTATTCTCCTAGAAGCTGGTAGAAGGGCCTGGCCCAGAGTAGCTGTTCAGTAAGTATTCATAAAATAACATCAAAGATTGAGGGAAATGGACAAAAATGTAAGACAGAAAGTAGCTTTCACATTTTTTTGCAGTGTAGCCAGCTAAAATCAATAGCAGATCTTAAGCACTCTTAACTGACACCTTCTTTTTTTCTTTTTCTTTCTTCTTCTTTTTTTTTTTTAGACAGAGCCTCATTCTGGCGCCCCAGGCTGGCATGCAGTGGTGTGATCTCAGCTCACTGCAGTCTCTGCCTCCAGGTTCAAGCCTTTCTCCTGCCTCTGCCTCCCAAGTAGCTGGGACTACAGGTGCCCACCACCATGCCCAGCTAATTTTTGTATTTTTAGTAGAGACAGGGTTTCACCATGTTTGCCAGGCTGGTCTCGACCTCCTGACCTCAGGTGATCCACCCGCCTCACTCAGCCTCCCAAAGTGCTGGCATTACAGGCAATAGCCACCAGATGCTATTTACATACACGTTCCTGCCAGCTCAGCACCAACTTCCTGTTCACATCAACGGTGTAGCACTCTCACACCTGGAAAATGCATCTATTGATTCATTCTTCATCTCAGTCTTGAAAGCAGGTCTCTGGGGCATCTCTAGTCTCCACCGCAGGCTGCAAGTGGGGGTTAGAGAGAGTGTGAGAAAGTGCAGTTGGCCAGGGAGAAGAGCAAAGGGACTCATCTCTCTCTTGCCACCTGGGGTCCAGTCTTTCTTCACCTGCTGAGTCAAACTCCCAGAAGCTTTCACGAAACAAGAAGATTCCTTCTGCTCTCTTTCACATCTGGTCCTCCAGATCATTTTGTTCTTCCAAGTCGCTGCTGACAAGCTGCGATCCATTTTAAGCAGGTACAAGGTGCATGAGCCCCAGGTGCTGAGCCTTGAGTCCCTCGCAAACTTTTCAGACCGAGTTTGACGCTGACGCCTTTGTTTAGAATGAGCACTTGTGTTTGCTGCCTGAATCATACATCATTACACACACGTACTTACACATAGATAATGCATCTTAAAAGATTTCCGCAGTGTTTTATCCAGTTTGGAACCAAAGAAGTTCATTCTCTGTGTATGTGTCTCTCTCTGGATAAACTGCATTTATCAGAGGAAGTTTGTCTTTTTAGTCATTGTCTTGCAAAAAATAGTAACTGAGTGGCTATTCCTTTTAAAACCAAAAAAATTAAAAATTCAAGCACCTCCTCCCTCAACGAATGACTGAACGGACCCTCCTCTTGGTCAAGGGGACCCGAGCAAAACTGAAAAATGAGCCCAGGCCATGGTGGGAAGTGGGTGGGACATCCCTCATTCACCTCCTCCCTTTGGAGTTTAGGCACAGCTGACCAGTATTATTAACATGCAAACAAAGCTCTTAAGACTGACAAAACAGACTGCAACAATAAGATACCAAGTTCCAACTCGACTCTGGTGTAACATCACCTGACATAGCAGGCCTTGAAGGAAATTAACATAGTTTAGCCCAAAACTTTTTTTTGAGCAAATTACTTAGGGCATCTCACCCTGATGACTTCTATAGGATCGTTGGGAGGATTAAATGACTCCATTTATGCAAAGCTCACAGAATAATGCCAGAGACTATGGTAATCACTCAGAAAAAAAGAAAACAAGCTGATATTATTTGAAAGATGGAGATGATAATGCCTAACTCATAGGAAAGTTGTGAGGAAGATTAACGTGTAAGTATCTAGCACATACTGGTCTAACTCAGTAATGTTTCCATCCTTCTACTCTTGTGACTTTAATATACATGGAATATTATTAACTTATCAGGAGTATCTATAGAAGCTGATAAAGTCGGTGAGGGTTAGAGCACATGAAAGGTGTTGTCACTCACAGGAGCTATGGCCCTAGGTGCTCTCAGCCCCTCATTCTCTCTGGCTTCTCCTGGCAGTTTGCCTCCTGGCCCTCCAGGTCAGTGGAGCAGGCTCGTCTGGGGTGCTGGAGTATGTTCTCTCTCTTTGATGAACCTCTCTCTGGAGGGTGGCTTTATCAAGAAGTCGTAGATTGAAGGTGGTCTGCCTTCATCTGGAAGTACTGTCCAGCCACCAGAGGAGAGGTCAGTAAAATTCTTCCTATAGGGCCACAGATTAATTATCTTTGGTTTTGCGGGGCAAATGGTCTCTGCTGTTATTACTCATCTCTGGCATTCTAGCAGCTATAGACAATCCCTAAATGAACAGGCGTGGCTGTGTTCCAGCAGAAGGGTATACAGTGGCACTGAAATTTCAATTTCATTTCAGTTTTGTGTGTCATTATATAGCATGCTTCTCTTGATTTTTTTCAAACAACTGAAAACATAAAAACCATTCTCAGCTTGTAGGCCACACTAAAACACACATGGGGCTGAATTTGGCCCGTGGGCCACAGTTTGCTAGCCCCTTAGGATCCCCT